ATATATATGTATATATATATATATATATATACGTATAATCAAATGCCATGGAGGATGAAGATTGGGAAGAATCGCAACAGCGAGCAGCAGCGACGATACGACTATGCTTAGTAGATCAGGTTATGTGTCATGTGATGAATCTGAAATCTCTAGGAGAAGTTTGGAAGAAATTGGAAACTCAATTTATGGCAAAATATCTGACAAACAAGTTGTATCTGAAGCAAAAGTTGTATGAGCTGAAGATGCAAGAAGGTTCTGATCTGGCTCAGCATGTTAATGGCTTCAATCAAATAATCGCAGACCTATCACGGCTTGATGTGAGTATTGAGGATGAAGATCGAGCGATGATTTTTTTGTGTTCATTGCCCTCTTCCTATGAACACCTGGTGACTACCCTAACATATGAGAAAGAGACTATCAAAGTTGATGAGATTACTGCAGCATTGTTGGCTCACAACCAGCGGAAGCAGAATGCAGGGGAAAGCTCTCACAGTGACAGTTTATATGTGAAGAGTAACCAGGATCGTGGAAGGAAGAAAGAGAAAAAGGGATCTGGAAGGCGAAATTCCATATCAAATTCTAGAGGCAAAAAGTATATTCATTGCTACAAATGCAAGGAGCCAGGTCATATTAAGTGAGATTATCCAAAGCTGAAGAAGCAGATTGGGGAGAAAGATGATACTTCATCGATGTTTGTAAATGTGGTGCAGAGTGAAAATGCAGATTGCAGTGATGATGATATGCTCTCAGTTTCATCAACTCAGTTCACGGATGCATGGATTCTTGATTCAGGGTGCTCTTATCACATAACACCTAACAGAGAGTGGTTTACTTCATACAGGTCGACTAATTCTGGCTCAGTCTATTTAGGTGATGATAGATGATGCAATATAGTTGGTATTGGAGAAGTCAAAATTTAGATGTATGATGACACAATTAGAACGTTATGTGATGTCAGACATATTCCAGATCTGAAGAAGAATTTGATTTCCTTAGGCACTCTACAGATAAATGGTTTTATTCCTAAGGCTGATGAGGATAGGGAAACCATCAGAATTGTTAAGGGTGCACTGACAGTGATGAAAGGAAAGTTGACTGCAAGTAATATCTACAGACTATTAGAAGAAAGAGAAAAAGGGATCTGGAAGGCGAAATTCCATATCAAATTCTAGAGGCAAAAAGTATATTCATTGCTACAAATGCAAGGAGCCAGGTCATATTAAGTGAGATTATCCAAAGCTGAAGAAGCAGATTGGGGAGAAAGATGATACTTCATCGATGTTTGTAAATGTGGTGCAGAGTGAAAATGCAGATTGCAGTGATGATGATATGCTCTCAGTTTCATCAACTCAGTTCATGGATGCATAGATTCTTGTTCAGGGTGCTCTTATCACATAACACCTAACAGAGAGTGGTTTACTTCATACAGGTCGACTAATTCTGGCTCAGTCTATTTAGGTGATGATAGATGATGCAATATAGTTGGTATTGGAGAAGTCAAAATTTAGATGTATGATGACACAATTAGAACGTTATGTGATGTCAGACATATTCCAGATCTGAAGAAGAATTTGATTTCCTTAGGCACTCTACAGATAAATGGTTTTATTCCTAAGGCTGATGAGGATAGGGAAACCATCAGAATTGTTAAGGGTGCACTGACAGTGATGAAAGGAAAGTTGACTGCAAGTAATATCTACAGACTATTAGAGAGTACAGTTGTATGTGGAGTTCATTCTGTAGAGTCAGATAATGACAGTACAAAGCTATGACATATGCGTCCGGGTCATCTCAGTGAGCGTGGGATGACAGAATTGCATAGAAGAAATCTGCTGCATGGGGTTAAAAGCTGCAAGCTCGATCTTTGTAAGTTCTGTATTCTTGGAAAACAAACTAGAGTCAGTTTTATGACTGAAAAACACAAAACTGAAGGAATTCTTGATTATGTGCATTCTGATGTATGGGGCCCTACTAGGGAGTTGTCATTAGAAGGATCTAAGTATTTTGTTACCTTTATTGATGATTTCTCTAGGAAAGTTTGGGTGTATTTCTTGAAGCAGAAATCTGAAGTTTTCTCTAAATTCAAGCTGTGGAAAGCTGAGGTGGAGAACCAAACTGACAGAAAGATCAAGTATTTGAGGTCCGATAATGGCCAGAGTACACAGATTCGAAGTTTCAGAAATTATGTGAGGAGCATGAGATTCAGAGGCATTTTTCAGTGCAGAAGACACCACAGCAGAATGGTGTGACAGAAAGGATGAACAGGTCCTTAACTGAAAGGGCAATGTGCTTGAGACTAAATGCAGGGCTTCCTAAGAGTTTCTGGGCAGAGGCTGTGAATATGACATGTTATCTCATCAACAGATCACCTCGAGCATCATTGGGTGGCAAGGTCGCAGAAGAGGCATGGACAGGTAATCCAATTAAATTTGATCATTTAAGGATTTTTGGATGTCCTGCTTATGTGCATGTACCTGAAGATGAAAGATTCAAACTTGATGCAAAATCCAAGAAGTGCATATTTCTGGGCTACAAGAAAGGTGTAAAAGGATACAAGTTTTGGGATCCGATTGCAAAGAAGATGGTGATTAGCAGAGATGCAGTTTTTGATGAGCAGTTTATGTTACAACAGAATCAAGACAAGGTGTCAGGGAACAGTTCCAGTTCAGATGCAGTGCAAATGGATTTAGAACAACAACCAGTAGCTTCTGAGAGAGGTGAAAGTTCAAATCCAACACCTGGTGATTCTATTCTAGATGATCTGCAGAATTACAATCTAGCCAGAGATAGACAAAGACACACTAATGTAAGACATCCTAGCAGATTAAGTTATGAAGACTTAGTCTCGTGTGCACTTCTCATCAGCAACGATGATCCAACCACTTTTCAAGGAGCTATCACTAGCCAAAAGAAAGAGAAATGAATGGGTGCAATGGTTGAGGAGATGGAGTCCTTGCAGAAAAATCACACTTGGGAGCTAGTTCAGCTTCCAGAGGGAAAGAAGGCTATTTGGTGCAAATGGGTCTACAAAAGGAAACCAATAGTATCAGAAAAAGAAGGGGAAAACTTCAAGGCTCGACTGATTGCAAAGGGATTTTCGCAGCAGAAGGGGATAGATTATGATAAAATATTTTCTCCTGTGGTCAAACATACTTCAATCAGGGCAGTGCTTGCATTAGTAGCTATTTGGGATTTGCATTTGGAGCAGATAAATGTTAAAACTGCTTTCTTATATGGTGATTTGGAGGAGCATATTTACATTGAGCAACCAGAAGGGTTCACTCAACCTGGACAGGAGCATCTGGTTTGCAGGTTAAATAAATCGCTGTATGGGTTGAAACAGTCTCAAAGATAATGGTACAAGCGGTTTGACTCCTACATGATGCAGATTGACTACAGGCGATGTGAGTATGATTGTTGTGTTTATGTGAAGAGCCTTGATGATGATTCTATTATTTTTCTGTTACTGTATGTTGACGATATACTGATTGCTGCAAAGAATATGAATGATGTCTGTGGTTTGAAAGCTTTATTGAGCCAGAAAATGAAATACTTGGGTCATACGAAGAAGATTCTTGGAATGGAGATTCATCGAGACAGAGGCTCAAGACGATTATGTTTATCTCAACGAGGCTATGTTGAGAAAGTGCTGGAAAGGTTTGAGATGAGAAATGCAAAGCCTGTGAGCACTCCTTTGGCAAATCATTTTAAGCTTTCTTCAGAACAGTGTCCTAAGACAGATACAGAAATGGAAGACATGGCTAAGGTTCCATATGCAGTGCAGTTGGCTGCTTGATGTATGTTATGGTATGTACTCGTTCTGATTTGGCTCATGCTGTTAGTCAAGTCTGCAAATACATGACTAAACCTGGAAGGCGACATTGGAAAGCTGTCAAGTGAATTTTCAGGTATTTGAAGGGTACTGTAGGACATTGAATTATTTTTGGCAGTCAGAAGAATGATTTTTCAGTTGTTGCGTATGTTGATTCAGACAATGCAGGTGATTTGGATGGTAGAAGGTCTACAATTGGGTATGTGTTTACTCTTGGTGGAGGGCCTATATGTTGGAAATCAACAATTCAGTCTATTGTGACATTATCTACAACTGAGGCTGAGTACATGACAGTAGCTGAAGCTGCCAAAGAAGCCTTATGGCTTACTAGGTTAGTAAAGGAACTGGGCGTTGAGCAATGTGAAGTTCAGTTGCATTGTGACAGTCAGAGTGATATTTATCTGGCTAAGAACCAGGTGTGCCATGCGAGAACCAAACACATTGATGTCAGGTATCACAAGATCAGAGAGTTGATTGCTTCTGGGGAGATACTGTTGCAGAATGTTCATACTGATGAGAATGCAACTGATATGTTGACCAAGCCAGTTACTATCAACAAGTTCTTGCATTGCTTGGGCTTGTTGAATGTTTGCAGTTGCTAGAGAAGCATGGTGGCATAACCCACAGTGGTGTAGGTGTAACTCCAAGGTATTTTTTCTCCTAAGGGGCTGAATATTCGCCAAGGTGGAGATTTGTTATGGTATGACTCATATACCATATAGGGACAGACGCTGAATCGAAGCGGAGTGGAAGAATCTGTCCAAATTGGGAAGTTACGTGGGTTGGGGTGCGGGGGCAAAGCCCCGCAGTATGGTACAGGGGTAATGTTGTAATTACGTATTGTGCCTAGGTTTACTCCTGGGGTTATATATAGGTCTGTTAGTAACCCCAGGAGGTATCCTCTATTCCGTAACATCTTTTCTGAATATTTAAAGGAACTCGCCGCTCTGCTCCCGAGGACGTAGGCATCTTTGCCGAACCTCGTGTTTTTCTGGATTTGTGTCGATTACTGTTTTTCTTCGCCCTATTTTCTCAACACTATCTTTAAACTAGGATAAATAAATGTTTATAAAAAGTTAGAAAAAATGAATTTAAAAAACTGTAAATATCAAATATATTATGCATAGTAATTTGTTGGGATTTGGGGGTTGGGCATGTTCCTTTTGGTGGTATCAATAGCTGTCGCGCCTCAAGCAAGGAGTCGTTTTTTTTCCCGCGCGCTCGTCTTCTCTCCCGTTCATGGGGAAACCTAAACAACAGGTTCTCTCCCGCTTCTTCGTCCCAAAGCCGCGACCTCCCCCTGAGGCGGCGGAACAAAACTCGCCACCGCAGCCATCACCTCCCCGCCCCAAACCCTCACCGAGGATCGCCACCACCATCTCATTTTCCCCCTCTACAACCTCCTCTAAGCGTTCCCACTCTCATTCCCAAAACCCATCCTCATCTGCCAAAAAGCCCAAGACCTCACTCCACGAGAAGTTGGTTTCAAAGCTTATTGATCCTCCCGCTTCCTCCGTGACCGTCCCAAAACCCTCGTCCCAAAACCCTAATTACACTCCTCTCGAGCAGCAGGTCCTCGAGCTCAAATCGCAGCACCCAGACGTCCTTCTCATGGTTGAGGTCGGCTATCGTTACCGTTTCTTTGGTGAGGACGCCGAGACTGCCGCGCGAGTACTTGGCATCGTCGCTCACCCCGACCACAATTTTCTAACCGCCAGTGTGCCCACATTCCGATTGGATTTTCACGTCCGGCGGCTCGTTGGCGCCGGATACAAGGTCGGCGTGGTTAAGCAGACGGAAACGGCGGCGATTAAGGCGCATGGGTCGAACAGGTTAGGACCGTTTTCGAGGGGCTTGTCGGCGTTGTATACAAGGTCGACGATTGAAGCGGCGGAGGATATGGGAAGCGGAAGGGAAGAGGGGCTGGTGGGTTCGGATGGGAATTACCTTCTTTGTGTTACGGAGAAGGAAGCTGTGGCTGGAGATAATGGTTTTGGGGTGGAGGGTTGCTTTGACGTGAAGATTGGGATAGTTGGAGTGGAAATATCGACCGGGGAGGTCATTCATGGAGAGTTTAATGACAATGTTATGAGATCGGGGCTTGAAGCTGTTGTTTTGAGTTTATCTCCAGCAGAAATCCTTCTGGGGGATCCTCTTTCTGCCTCTACAGAGAAGGTATTTCATTGTTTTTGAGTTAAATAACTAGTTTATGGGCCATAGTCATGGGAAGGGACCATTACAGAGATCAAACCATTGCAACTTATGGAAGATGTCAACGGCACAGTTATTTTATAGAAGGCTGTTAATAGAAGAATATTGAATTTTTTATTGAAGAATAAATTAGTATAATTGGACAATTTTAGCTGGTTCAGCAATCAAAGGGTGGATAAATTAGTTGTACAGGGAAAGCTGATAAAGAGTTGTTTTGTGCATTCATTAAGAGCTTGCAAGTGACAAACTTTATTGATGCAGATGCCATTCTTCCTTCTCATATTCGCAAGAAAAAAAATTACTGAAATGGTTAACCTAAACATAAGTAAAAAGGGTGAAACAAGCTGTCATCAATGTAAGATTTTGGTGTTCAGAAATTTGCTTCCTTTTCTTTCCATGACCCAAGTTATCTTGTTTTCTTTTTTGCAAAGACAAGCATCATAGCTTTTATACTTGTGTCATATTTTATGTCACATATTGTGTCCGAAAGGTCGTATACACTAACAACATGATACATGATGAAGTGATTTGGAAACTTGTTTTGTACTCACAAGAAAATTGTTCATATGTAAATAATATAAATAGAAAGAATTAATAAGAAAAAACAAATTTTACTTTATTCCATAATGATAGTACATGTACTGATGCATCAAGAGAAGTAAAATGAACCTAATGAAAATAAATTGGAACTACGAAGGCACAAGCAAACTACCTAGATCCAATATAAATACAAATAATGCTATGCCATTAATTTAAAAACAGTCAAACAAATTCTTCTGTTAGAAAATATGCTATTAATGACTATATACTAGCGGTGTAATTGATGTCATCCAGATGCCAAATATAATGTGTTATTGCATCATTGGAAGAATGTTATATATTTAAGAAATATTTAATATCATTATTCTTATTGTCCCATATGATAAACTGTAAGCATGCTTCTCAATGCTAACATTCATATGCTATCACACCAAGTATACTTATACATGCATTTACACGACTTATCAATATTCATTATAGCATCTCTCTATGCGCGTGCATATAGGGAGTCAATTTCCTTTAACATGCCAAAGCGAGAATATGTAGACTCCTATTTCATGAAAATTTAAATGTTTAGGTAGTCTGTTTACTACGATATCATAAAATAAGGGTAATATGTATGAAAAATAAATATTATTATTATAAGAACAAATTTAATATACAAGAAGTTTTGCAATCACAAATTAAAGCAAATGTATCATTGTGACTTACTATTTTCTTATAAACATAAAAAAGGAGATCGGCTAGCATATGTATAACCAATAATAGAATATTAGTGACAAAACTGATAACCTATAAATATTGAGCTATCTAATACTAATGTTAATGATCACGGCCTAACAAAAAGGAATATATTATTAATAAATAATAATTATTTATTTCAAAACAAGAAATACGAAAATCCAATTCTATTTGAGATTCAATCAAATTAAATTGGCGAGTGTCTGACATAAAAGATTCCCAATCAACCCCACAAGCACATAAGAGGGACGCTGAAGAGCAAAACTAACTACCTAGATCACATAAATTATTATAATGTTAAACCAAATCAGTTATCATCATTACAAAGATTAGAGTTACCCTTGAATGCCTTCAATTAAAATTTTCCCTTGGTTTAAGATTATCAAACAAATTCATATGTATAAATAACATTTAAACTAATCAATGTAAACTAAACATAAAATAAAAATAATAAATCAATTTTTTTCAGATTAAAAGAACTAATGTAGATATTTGCTATGAATGCTTAAGAGGCAGAGAATGGAGAAGAAGCTCACTGTTAAGAAGAAATGCTCATCGATGGCGCCTTCCAGTTGAGGAAGGGAAAGTAGGAGAAGGAAAAGTAGGGACTTCTCTCTTGAAGGAGGAAGGCGATAATCGTTGCCATGAAGGAGAGAGAAATGAATGAGTGAAACCAATGCTCTAGCTTTGGAACATCTTAAATAGGTAAGCTGTGGCAGCTAAAGAGAGCACACTAAAGAATCACACACATCAATTACGCGAGAAGATGGTGTTGGTTGGGAAAATAGTGGACTGAGAGGGATTTGGGTTGTTTGTGATCTGGTTCAGCTAAGGACGTTCCAACCCTTTTCGGTTTGTTTGTGCGGATCTTGGTTTTGCTCGATACAATTTTCTTTAATATAGCCTTCCAATTGCTTTCAGCTGTCAGAGTTCTTAATTCCTCACCATTACCAATTGCATCTTCTCTCATTGTGACAAGATTTTTATAAATGGACAGATCTTGTATGTTTATTGTTAAATGAAATATAGTTTGTTATTATTTCTTATGCTAGGTTCATATTACCAAGAATAGATTGATCTCTGTTTGCATTATGTATATGATATAGTAAAGACTAAGCTTCATACCCTGATTTAGTATAATTGCACTTTCTTTTATTTTTATCTGATTTCAGGTATCATGAACTATTAAAGAATTACTATTTAACACTGAGTGCCACTGCATCAATTGCTTTTCTATAATTCATGTTTTTTACATGAGGGCATCCTACCACAGGCTTTGTTTGTTGTGCTGTTTTGTTTGGTATGATATAAAATTAACACTTTCAACGAGATGAAAATTCTGTTCTGCAAGTTTGTTTTCCTTGGTATGAAACCATGGAGGAGTTGCAATGTGCATTACATCAGATTCTCAAAATATTTTCTATAGTTTCTTCGACCAGTTGTTGTTTTCTAATCAATTAAGCTGTGATAACAAATAGCCTTATTTCTTCTATTTGGTGTTGGATTTATGCATCTTTCTCTTCCGTTTATCCCTGATAAGGATTTTAATATTTGACATGTTATGCGTCCAAATTATATCCTTCAGCTGCTGTTGGCCTATGCTGGACCTGCTTCTAATGTTCGAGCTGAGCGAACTTCTCGGAACTGTTTAAATGATGGGGGTGCACTTGCAGAGGTGATGTCCTTATATGAAGAGGTGACTAAGGATACCCCAATTGAAACAAATTTGTACATCAGGGTAGAGAGAGATGATTCCAGTGGTATTGAGGTATTTTCTTTGAAATATACCCTTTTTTATTGTATTTGTGGCATGATTTTAACATATGAATTTACTTCAATTTTTTTATTTACATTGCCTTATGAACTTTGATTTTACATGGAAATTTCTATCTTATCCTGACAATTGATTAGCCTGAAAGAGCTTCTGATTACATGTCAGGGAATTTTAGCCATGCCAGAACTATCCATCCAAGCACTGGCGCTATCCTTGCGATACCTCAAAAAGTTTGGCTTGGAAAGGATTTTAATCATGGGTGCTTCATTCCGGCCTTACTCTAGCAATGTTGAGATGACGTTATCTGCAAATACACTTCACCAGCTGGAGGTAATTTTAATTCGTTAGTGGCTAACATAATAAAGTAAGTAAAAAATTTTTTTGATGTTTAGCTTTCCAAATAATAATGCTAATCAAGTTCTTAACTGTCAAGCTTGATTGTATTGCAACAGGGAATTTAGAGAAATGTTGACATTTTTAATATTTAATTTTTTTTCTTTTTCTGTTTGTTAGAAACATGCTATAAAAACCATACTATTTATGTACTCAGACATGTTTGTGTCTAACACACTTGATCTTTTATGATCTGCGATCCAGATGAGGGTTACTCGTGAATCCTTTCATTTTTGCTGGGAGGTTTTGAACACATGTTTTCTTTCATGCAAAGTATTTTTTGTTTTTGATGAAGTACTGGTAGTAATTCTGTTTTTGATGAAGATAAATTTTGGAATGACTTAGAAGACTTAATACAAATGATACCTCTTGAAAAAAGAATTTTTATTGGAGGAGATTTAAATGAACATGTCGGTAGAGTGGTAGAAGATTTCAGAAATATTCATGGTGGCTACGGTTTTGGAGTAATTAATGAAGAAGATAGAGCTATTTTAGATTTTGCTTTAGTTTTAGCGTTTGATTTTGTTATTACTAATACTTTATTCAAGAAAAGGGATGAACATCTTATTACTTATAAGAGTGGATCTAATAAAACACAAATTGATTATTTTCTTATGAGAAGAAGAGATCGTCGCGATCGTAAAGATTGTAAGGTCATTGCAAGTGAAAATTTAAGTACCCAACATCGTTTATTAGATCGTTTATTAGTTTTAGATTTTGTTAGTTTTAGATTTTGAGATTAAGAGTTGTAAAATAAAAAATACTAGGACTCATCATTGCATGGAGAGACGGAGAAACTTAAAAGACATAAATAAAATTATTTTTATGAGTAAAATTCAAGATTTTAAAATTTGGGATATTCATGAAGAAACAAATATGATGTGGGATGAAGTAACAAACACTATTAAACAAGTAGCAAAAGATGTGCTTGGAGAATCAAAAGAAAAAGTATTTACAAATAAAAATATTTGGTGATGGAATAATAATGCGTAAGAAAAGATAAAATATAAGAAGTTATGTTACAAAAATTGGTTTAAATGTAAAAACTTAGAGAACTTAAAAAAATATCAAACGGCCCGCAGGGAGTCTAAAAGAAGAATCTGTGACGCTAAAAATTCTGCTTTTAATGATCTTTATAATAGATTAAATACTAAGGAGGGTGAAAAATATATGTATAAACTAGCCAAACAAAGAGAAAAGAAAAGCAAAGATTTAACTCAAGTAAAGTGTATTAAAGATGAAAATCTAAAAGTACTTTTCTTAGAAAAAGATATTCAATATAGGTGGGTGGGTTACTTTGATAAACTTTTTAATGAAGTTTCTGGAAATACGACCGGCCTTAGTGGTTTTAATATCGTGAATAATAATAAAACGTTTCATTTTACCGTGGCATTAGCAAAAAAGAAGTTGATGAGACTTTAAAGAAAACCAAGGGTGGAAAGTCTGTAGGACCTGATGATATCCCAATTGAAGTGTGGAAATATTTGAGAGATTTGAGATTTTCTTGGCTTATTAAACTCTTTAATATTATTTTAAAAACTAAAAAGATGCCTGAGGAGAGGAGGAAGAGTATTTTGGTCCCCATTTTTAAGAATAAAGGGGATGCACAAGAGTGTGCAAAATATAGAAGAATTAAGTTGATGTGTCATACTTTAAAATTATGGGAGAGGGTAATTGAACATAGGTTAAGACACATCACAAAAAGTTCTCATAATCAATTTGGATTTATGCCGGGCAGGTCTACTATGGAAGCTATACATTTATTGAGAGGTTTGATGGAGAAGTTCAGAGATAATAAGAAGAATCTACATTTGATTTTTATTGATTTAGAAAAAGCTTACGATAAGGTTCCAAG